AAGCTAAAAGGGCAACTTAAACAAGCCAAGTAAAATATCCAACAAAAAGACTATTTTAATTCTTATTCTTAAGAAAATCTCCCTATCATTATTATTATTTATCTTTTTTAACTTTAATAAATATCAGGCACACCAGGGGCATCATCTGGAACCACCTCGGCAGAAGCAGGAAGTAGCACCCCTCTACCAGCAAGCACTGGAGCCCCAGGTTCAGGTAAGACTCTTTAGCTTTTGGAGATGTCTCAGCAGCTCATCCATTCCCATACTGCTTCAGGTGATCATCGGGAAATTGAAACTCTATGTGCGAGTAAAATTCATGGCATTGGATGTGGTGTAGAATCTCTCTACTCATGTTTTATTCTGCAAGTCCATTTATATAAGTAAGGAGGTCTGGAATCATATGAGTCACCAACATGCATGATTTCCTGTCATAGGGAGCACAGTGACATCCTCAGGGCACACAAACATCACTCAAGCCTCCAGTCTATCTCCAGCCTCTGCCAGCAGCAAACCAGGTAAGTGAAAGAGAGGAGGCTATTGAGTTCTCAGTTGTCAAATGGAGAGCTGAATATATCTCCATTTATTTAAATGTGAATGTAGGAGTGGCAAGTATATTAAAAGGCTATCAGTCTCCATGTGCCAAATGGGGACTGAGTCTATGTCCATTTATTTACATTGGAATGTAAGAATGGCATGTATGTTACAAGGCTATGAGTCCTCAGCAATAGGAACTATATATAAATAAATGAAGACACTGGAGATCAGAGAGAAGTGTGGTCCTCTGCTATTTTATAGTCATGACATTGTGTTTCTTTGAAAGGAACAACTGGATCATCAGCAGGAACCACTAGATCCTCAAGCAGTGAGATGACCTCAGCTGAAGTCAGTGCAGGTGAGTTGAGGCTGTGTCCTCGAGTTTGTCTGAAAAATGGAGAGTGGTTTGTCTATACATTATTCATTTTAAAGAACCACAGTTGAAACAGGTATATTTTTAAAAATTTTGTGGAAACTTTATTGTCAACAAATTTCAAGATGTCAAGAGATATTTTTAAGAAATAGAATAAAAATGGGGATCTGAGGAGATGCATCTCATTAAATCCTCCCTGCAGGCTCCTAAGAGGATACTGAGCTGACACACAACTCCAGTGTCTTACTATGAATCAATTCGGTATACCCAAATTCCCTCCTATCCAATAAATCAATCAGTGCTCTGAAGGATTGTCTGGGTAGTGGCAAATTTCATTAATGCTGATTGAAAAGAGGGAACTAGAGGATAATGCAG